CCCTCCTGCCTCCCTCCCTCCTGCCTCCTGCCTCCCTCCCTCCTGCCTCCTGCCTCCTGCCTCCCTCCCTCCCCACATAGCTCTTTCTAGCCGAGCCTGTAGGCCACTGGATGGGTCAGGATGGGCCTTGTCCTGGGTTGTGGCTCAGGGACAAACCTGACACCCTTGGGGCCAGCAGGGGTACAGACAAGAGTTCATGGGTATAAGAAAAACATGTCTTAAAAAGCCTCCTGCTTGGGGCCAGCGAGACAGCTCCATGGGCTAAGTGCCTGCGTAAGTAAGCACAAGGGCCTGGATTCCGTCCTCGGCACCACATGCTGTGCCAGCCTGGCTCTGGGTGCAACAAGCCAGCCACCAAGACCGGGCGTGGTGGCACACACCTGTAATCCCAGTGCTGGGGAGGCTGAGACAGGAGGATCACTAGGAGTCCGAGCTACGTGGTGAGACCCTGTACCAAATACATAAAAAATAACAAAACAAAACACTCCCATTTGATGTAAGGACATAGCCAGGCAGGGGGCTGTCCCCTAAAGAGGACCAATATGGAGAAAATAGCACAGACCCTGTCACCCTGGCTGCCACAATGGGGGGGGAGGCCCCAGCAAGCAGTGGAACCCTGGCTTTCCTGACGTGGAAGGTGCAGATGCCCAGGCTGGCTGTTTCTAGCATTTCAGGGCCATCAAGAGAGGCTGGAGGTTGGCCAGAGTGGGGCAGAGCGCTTAGCATAAACCTAGGTGTTTGAGCCTGGCCTCAAGACTTCCACCTGGAGTCCCAGCACTCAGGAGGCTGAGGCAGGAGGATCACCGCAAGCTCAAGGCCAGCCTGAACTACATGGTGCGATTCTGTCAAAAACAAAACAAATCTAGATATTAAGGAAAAGGAAAAGTCCCTGTTTTTTTTTTTTTTTTTTTAAAGAATGCAAAATGTACAAAATTTCATTAAACAAAGTAATAGGAATTCGCCAATGGTTGTTGTAAGTTACTGGCTTTTAAATGTTGGCTACATTTTTTAAAAAAATCCATTACAGGTCAAAGAAAACATCTGCTTTCTACTTTTGAGTCCTTTACCCGATGCTGGGCAGGTGACATCTTGGAAAAACGACTTCAATTTGGCCTCAACACCCCATTCCTGAGCCCTGCCCTACTCTGGGGCTTGCGAGCCCGCTCCATAGTTCTCTTCTTGGCAGGCTGAGCCCCTCGTATTTCTTCCTGGAGCACCCACAGAAAATGTTAGTTGAAGGGTAGAAAGTGTTTACCTATGCACAGGTCAACGCTGAGAAATGTTTATAAAACGAAAAGTTCCTTTTGAGTTTGAAAAGAACAGTGAGTCTGAAACAAGTTATAACATACTTATTAGTGGAGAAATTGGTGAAAATGTTTTAAAATTAGCCTTGTTATTTTTAATCTATATGTTAATTTACAGAACATTTTCTTTAATTACCTGGATTGGCTTTAGATTGATTATTTTTTCAAAATCACTAAAAAGCGCCTCTGGCTGCATGTCCTCGCCGTGTCTCGGGCCTGGGGCCAGGCGGGCGTGGGGACAGAGGCCTCGTGGCCCTGGAGGCCGCCCTGGCTGCTGAGCGGCCAGTCTGAGCCGGGCGGGCTGTGGCCGAGAGGCCGCTGGGCACCGTCCTGCAGGCGCGCCCTTGCCTGCGGGAAGCCAGCCCCAGAAGCAGCGGCCACTCGCCTGGCTCAGACCCGGAACCTCCACGCAGCTTGCTGGGGCTGGTACCTCCGTGTCCCCCGGGGCCATGCCCGCGGCCATGCCCGAGGGGAAGAGGGGCAGTGACGCAGGGTGCGGCTAGGGGGGTTGCCCGTGGGTGAGCGACACCCTCTGCCACCTGTTCCTGCCAC